GGGGCTGATCTGAGATCTTAAGGTTCAGGAACTGGCAGCTGATTGGAGGTCTGAAGTTGCAGGAATTGAGGATGATCTAAGGATGCAGGAATTGGAGCTGATCTGAGTCTGGATGGTGCAGGCCTGGGGCTGATCTGAGCTGTGAAAGTTCAGAAATTGGGGGCTGATCAGAGGTCTGAAGGTGCAGGAATTGGGGTTCATCTGAGGGAACTGGGGTGATCTGAGGTTGAATGGTTTGGAAATCGGGACTGATCTGAGCTTTGACAGTTCAGGAACTGAGGCGATCAGAAGGGTGAAGGTGACACACTGCTTGTAAATTGGCAATGTGGAAAAACTGTTGCTCACCCGTCCTATCAGAATGCAAGCTGTACTTTTACTTGTGTATGTATCTTAATATTGATATAACTGCAGGATTATAGTGATCCGTCACAACTCCATGACCACTGACAGGTTATGTCAAAAACATTGATCATCTCCTTTCCATTGCATCTGACAGTTGGGATATATTAGGCAGCCAGTAAACATGTCCCTGTAGTTGATCTGTTGAAATGAAAAATGGTCATCACAGTTTGTGGTTGTGTTGTCCCAGACCAGTCAGGATGCCCATGCTGATCTGTGTCCACAGCTAAAAGTGCCTACAATGAGCATCAGAACTGGACCACCGAGCAGTGTAAGGTGGTGGCCTGGTCTGATGAATTACGTGGATGGCCGGGTGCGTGTGCATAGCTTACTTGGAGAAGAGATGGCACCAGGATGCACTATGGGAAGGTGAGACAGTGATGATTTAGGTAATGTTCTGCTTGGAAACCTTAGTCCTGCCATTCATGTGGATGTTACTTTGACACATACCACCTACCTAAACATTGTCCGTGACCAAGTACTCTCCTTCATGGAAATGATATTCCCTGATAGCAGTGGCCTCTCTCAGCTGGATAATGCATCTAGTCACACTGCAGAACTGGGTAACAAATAGTTGGAAAAACATGATGAGTATGAAGTTTTGACTTGGCCTTCATCTTCTTCAGATCTCAATCCATCGAGCATCTGTGGGACGTGCTGGAAAAACAAGCCTGAGTCATGGAGGCTTCACCTCACAGCTTAAAGGATCAGCTACTGTTGACTTGGAGCCAGATATCACAGCATACCTTCAGAGGTCTATTGTGCTCAGGTCTCGATGGCTCAGGGCTGTTTTGGTGGCAAAAGGGGCAACTACTCTGTATTAGGTGGGTGGTCATAATGTTATGGCTGATTGGTGTACATTTACCTTAGAGAACAGAGGCTCCCAATGAGGATATTTTCTGCTTCATCTGATAAAGCGATATTACACCCTCAGTCTTTCGGGAGCGTCTTTATTTTTAATTCTTCGCCAATGTGCCAGTTTAGCTGGAGCTCCAGGTTTCCAGTTATAGGGCTCATGTACATGAGCAGCTGCTAAACTTGAGTTAAGGAGCTTTTGGCATTTTTTTTTGCCAAAGCTCCTAAATTCAACTCCATAAAAGCCTGTGTGTGCATGTACACATAGGCGTTTAGCAGCTGCTGTGGGTAGGGGGGAAGTTAAACCTCCCTCTCCTGAACGCAGAAGAATCGCTTTCAGGATAGGAACATTTTGACCGCCGACCACGGGAAACCGCAAAACGCGGTACTGCGATTTGTTTTCCCACGGTCAGGGTAGGCTCGTGTACATGGAGCCTTAGGGTAGCTTCTTTCGCTTGCTGCATCCTATGGAGTCACCCTTGCATGCAAAGATTTGAGTTGGGTCTCCCTACATTGTATGCATTAGTAGAAACACACAGTTGCATACCCTAGGATGGCAAGGAACTCTCCCATACTTCTTCCCACCTCCAAGCACCAGGGGCGGACTGACCATTTGGAAACTCGGGCACTGCCCGAGGGCCCGGGGTCAGTAGGGTGCCCCATGAGATGCCCCTGGTAGCTTTTTCATAGGCTTTTTTGAGTTTGGGGGAAGGACTCAGGGGCCCTATGATCCCTTATTGCCTGGGGGCCCCATGAGTTGTCAGTCCGCCCTTGCCAAGCACAGAGACTGCACTGTCCTCTGTTAACACTTTCCTTTATAAACTGGAAGTTCAAGGAAGAGGCATTGAAAGTTGTAAACTGCAAGTGTAGGACAAGAATTCTAATATATAGTTTACTGGGGAATGCCAATCCAAATGGTCACAGTTTGGATGAAGTCCAGATGAGCAGGGAGCTCCAGGACACTGTATTGCTGACTATAGTTCCATTGTAACTGACAGTCTCCCAGCTTCTTAGTGTGCACAACAGCACACAGAAAACCAGAGACCTGCAGTTGACTTTCTAGAAAACAGAGTCCGCTATCTCTGTAGGTAGGCGATTTCCCCTAAAATATGTTAAAAGCAAAAAAAAAGTGCAGTTCACCTTTAAAGTAGATGTAACCCCAATCCCTAAACTCTCAAAATTTTACCATGTCATTTTTCAGTCTTTGTAAATCTGAAGATTTCTCTAAAATAAATCACTGGTGATCCTGCCATCAAGGTGCTTATTTAGACACTTCCTTTTATGAGGTGACAGCACTCTGTCCATTTCCCAATTGCTCACCCTCACCCTGGTGGCAAATAAAAACATGGAAAAAATTGTTACCAGAACTAAATAAATGGAGGTAATTTATATTAGCCCCCCAATGTGCTTGCTGAACATCCATCCCCCCAAGATGCAAAAATACCAAAAGCACACCAATCACGGTACAATAATGTATATTAAAAAAAAAAAAAAGCTTTATTTATACAGGAAGACACCAACAGAAAAGCCAAAACTAAAATCTGAAACCAAAAATAAAACAAATCAGAAAGCTTTATTACCGAACATGAATTCAAGCAAGTCTTCAATCTATAATTTATAAGGCTAAAAACTGAAGATTAAAACAAAGGTGCAAAAAAGATTAATAGTTGTCCATTAATTGAAATGCTCTCATGAAAGAAAAAAACAAAACACATTGATATATTGCTAAACTCTTAATTAGTTTTATATCCATCTAATATACAAGGTGAAAAAGAGGACCTGTCTACACCATGTAGCCATTTTCCTTGGATGCAGAGGCATCCCCTTTCCTATGGATTTTTAAAGGTCACGTTAACTTTCCAAAATAACTGACTGGAGTGTTTCAATAAACCCCAGGAAAGGAAATTCTATATGGCCTTTCAAACCCATTTTATATATTTATAAGTATTTAAAGTGTACCTACAACCATTTTTTTTTTCTTTACAATTTTGGCCTAAATGAGGAAGGAATAGAACCCCCTGCAGTTTTTCTTTGCTATCCAGGGCCCTGTTACATAGATTTCTCCTTTACTACCTCTTTCGGTAACAACAGAATTGCCAGATTTGAAGTGCGGGAAAAATCTACAACAAAGCCAATAAAAAGCTAATAGGGGATCTAACCCTCCCTTACTGTACCAAATAAAGTCTATTGTCAGTTGGGGGACACAGCTTTATCAATAAGCAACCTAAGGTTACACTGCCACCTACAGGAGAAGGAAAAAAAAAAGTAGAAGGCCAGCCCTCTAGAGACTATAACCCCTCCCAACTGCCCAGTTTTGCTTGGTGTCCTTTCTCTCTGATATATTTGTTACTTGAATGAAGATTTTTCTACAATCAGTAGCACCCAGTGACTGCATCATTACAATGAGAAGTGCAGGCAAACCATACAGAGCTCCAGATGGCAGTAAAAACCAAACGGGTTCTAGACTTTTCCTCACTCCATCGAAAATTTAAAAAAACATTTAGCTGGACCCTACCTTTTAAGTGAATTCCCCCTCAGGGTACCACCATCTAATATTTTGCCCCCCAAAACTGTCCTCAGGTCATCCAGCCAAATTGGAGACGAGAAAGCTTCTGCACAATTAAATATTAAATTGTATACATTTTATTACTGAGATCATATTATGTATTCTTTTGTCAGTATGAAATCTTGTCCTTTTTTTTTTTTTTAGCAACCTTGAAACATTGTTGCAAATATCTGGTGACCATTCCCTTTGTGGAGCATTCTGACCATGCCAACTCCGGAACTAGATCCCTGTTGGCACGGTCAATTCACGCGCCTTAATCTGCAATCTTGCATCAGGATGCTGTGCAGATGCATGGGGTTGCCTGTAGTCCCCCTTATCTGTCAAGCAAGGCAGCCCTGTCTCCCACACTCATTAAATGTGTCTGGTGGTCATGTGACCACTGAACAAACCTAAAATACAGGTACATGCTACCATTATTAAAAATAATATTTCAATGTACTTTGCCATGTATGTAAGGATTTTGAAACCTGGCAGCATTTTATTGGCAGTTTTACCATTTTATCGTATTACATTTAAAAGGCAAAAATATAGGAAAACTGGAACAGTCAACGACTTATCGGCAAGAATTAAACTTTTATATTGATTACAGTACAGTTCCATATATGCCACTTAATACATTGTATGACCCCCATCCTTTCATTAAAAAAAAAAAAATCCTTTTTTTTTTCCCTCTAAACTTTGTTTAAACCAAAAACAAACAAAAAAAGAAAAATGTCCAAATTAGTCTCCAATTTCTAGATGGCTTTCGATGTAATTTAGACTCCAGAAATGCAGCTTCTCCAGAGTCCAACCTCAAATGAAGCCACACCCACAAAGACCACATGCTACATGAACGCCATTAGTAGCCAACAGCAGTGTGTGAACGCTCTGTGGCTCGGAATCAAGCAGTAATGTCATTTAAAAAAAAAAAAAATTGAAGGTCATCCGCCATGATGGTAAAGAATCTCTTTATACAAGGACCATAAATTAAACATTATGACTTTTTTGTTTCATATGTTTTTAAGTTAAAGCGGAAAAGAGCCATTATTAAAAATGATTTGCTGGGTCACACGAATACATACTACTATATACCTAGGGAGAGAAGACCTGCTTTGGGTTGCAGTTTTCCCCCGAGGACTTAAGGGGGGGGGGGGGGAAAATGTAAAAAAAAAAATAAAACCAGAAAGGTCAGCCGCGGTGTTTATGCGTCTTTCATGCCGAACGTCTCCTGTGAAGCATAGACCATGTAGAGGAAGCCATCTTCGTCCTTTTCACGCTCATACACCTCAGAGATTGGCGTGGATACACTCACCATGCTGTGACCGTTCACGAGGAGGAAGAACGCTTGGTTGGCGTTCAGCTGCAGGCGTCGCCTGTGGTGCAAAGACAAAGAATGTATCAATGCCTTTCCCAAAATGTCACAAGAAGAGAAGCAACACATTGGATATTCCCCTAAGCCAGGTGTAGGCATCCTCTGCATTCCAGCTGTAGTGGAACTACAAATCCCATCATGGCCCTACATCTGGGAATCATTCCTGTGGCTCTTATGCAGGCCATAGACGGGGAGAAAACCGTCCCGGGTTTTTTTTTTTTTTTTTTTTGAAAAACGAAAAAAAAAAAACAGTCAATCAGCCGACATTACCACTATTGGTAAAAAAGGTTGGCTGATTTTCGTCCCGTCTACGGCCGGCAATTATAGAATATATGCAGAAGAAGAAGAAATAGAATACAAAGAAGAAATAAAATACAAATAAAAAGACGAAATAGAACACGCAGAAGAAGTTGCAACATTGTTTCTATTTGTATCCATTTCAGATACAGATGTTTCTATTTAGATACAAATCGATACAATGTTGCTATACTTTTAAATGTCAAATATAATATCGGACTGAAATCCTTTTTTTTTCTTCATATTCTATTTTTTTCCTTTTCTTCTTCTTTCATGTCACTGCCATGCGCATTTTTAAATATTGGAAAAAGATCGGCAAATTTGTCCATCATTGCCGCGAAGATCGACAGAACGACAAATTTGGCCGATTATTTTCCAGAAAGACCGATAATCTAAAAAGTCAAAAATCACGAAAAATGGCCAACCGATTACCGCACGAACGATCCGAAAATCGGCCGATTTTTTTTTTCCGGCTGATTTTCGGTCGTTTTTCATCTCATCTATGGCCTGCATTAGGATCCTTTCATATGGGTGGAAAAACAGGCATTGAGGCATGTTTTTAGCAACCCCCCAGGCCATCCACCTAAAGCATACAATACAGCCAGAGGCAGTACACATGCCATGTCTGCAATACTTTGCTCCACAGCAAATTTAAAGCGGAGCGCCACCCAAAAGGGGAAGTTCCGCTTTAAGGAATGCTCCCCATTAAGGATTGGCGACTTTGGAGGGTGGGGAGAGGATACCTGAATCTGACAGGTACCCGCTCCCACCTCCGGTCCGATTGCCTAGGCGACCGGAAGCAGAAGGTGTCTCCCTCCCTGTAGTCTTTTGGGACACGTGACAGGTCCCAAAAGACTACAGGACTGAAGATGCCAGCAACGGGAACACAGGATGGCCGGTGAAATGGGCTGCGGGAGACACACCAAGGGACAGGTAAGTGGCTGTTTTTTGGGGGGTTTTTTTTAAGTCAGCAGCTACAGTTTTTGTAGCTGCTGACTTTTATTTTTTGACAGGGTGACTGGAACTCCGCTTAAAGTCAGCCACACCTGTAGAACTTGCCCAATGGGACTGCTCCGCAACCATGGGCCAGCTGCTTGGCTTGCGGCACAGTATTTTATTACATGTCCCTTGGGACTGAAAAAAAAAAGACTGCCGTCCAGGTGAAAGAGGCCTTAAGAGTCCCACAATATAATTTGCAGTTTCACCATGGCTGGAGGTCAGAGGTTGTACATCCCTGGCCCAGGCTTCTGGCTATGTGAGCAGTACTGAAGAAAGAGCTTGGAGCAGCATTTTCTCCATGAAAGCCATTTTAGATGTTATTATCCTTTACTTATCTGTATACTTGATCTGCATCAGTGACTTAATATAGTAAAAGCAAGAAGGTGAGCAATGGCAGCCATGGGATTCAAGTGGCTCCTTTCTAGTAATTTAGTTTATTCTCTGGTGTTCTGGAACCTACATCCACATCAGGGGTCTCCAAACTGCATAAACAAAGGGCCAGATTACAGTCTGAGACTTTAGGGGGGCCAGATTGTGGCCAGTGGTAGTAGAAAATGCCTTGTGTTTGGTTGTCAATGGGAGTAAGAAAATTACATGTCACCTGTGATCAGTAGAAAATGGAATGGTGTCCCACTACTTGGTATTGGTGCAAACAATAGTGCCCCCACTGGTGTCAGTGGTGGGAACAGCGCCCCACCATTGATGTCAGCGGCGGGAACAGCGCCCCAAGGAATGTATAAAGGCAAGGGGGCCACATCTGGCCCACAGGCAGCAGTTTGGAGACTACTGCTTTGTATGATCAAAAGTAAGTGGACCCTCCTCCAAATGATGAGGTTCAGACGTTGCCATTGATGGCTACTGATAATACTACATTATGTGAAGACATTAAAGACAACTGTGCTCTTCAAACCTTGTGGTAATTTGGTCAAGACCCATTTCTGTTCCACCATGACTGTACCCCTGTGTACAAAGCCAGCTCCATAAAGACATGGTTCAGCCCAGTCTGGGATGGAGGAACTCGAGTATCCCATACAGAGCCCTGACATCAACCCTTCCGAACATCTTTGGGATGAATTGGAACACCAACTGTGAGCCAGACCTTTTCATCCAATCTCAGTACCCGACCTCACAAATGGGCGTAAATGTAGTGGGAATGGGGCAACTTCATATTAATGGCTATGGGGGGAGGGAAACAATTCCATACTAATGGTCATGGGGCACCTTCATATTATTGACCATGGTTGTGGAATGAAATGTCCAACAATCTCATAAAAAGGTGTGATAGACATTTGAATACATAGTATATCAGCTGTTGAACTAAATGTCCCATGTCAACCTGGGAATTGTCAGGACATGCTGAGACTTGTAGTTCCATATCAACCTATGACTGGTTCTGAATTAGCTTGGCTTATTGCAGTGAGGAATCATTCTAGAGGGGTCACCCTTCATTCTCACCGGATGATTTTGATGAGCTCACTCATGTTGACGTGATCAGGAACAAGGAATTTGGTTTTATCCAACACCGGAAGCTGCTTTTCCCCCTTGTACCTCTCGATAATGACCTGGAAGAAGAAAAAAAACAAAATCAGTCATCAGGAGGGGAAAAAAAAGGCAGGAAAATCCACTAAGCACTATTGGTTTTTAGACTGACAATACAGAATGATGGAATTCTAAGAAAGCCAACACTTTGTATGGGGCACCCTGCCTCTAACAGCCCCAAACATGAGGAATTCATAAAAGCAGTTTGTGTGTTATCATTCCTCTCCATCGCGGTCAGTGATTGGTGTGAGCACAGCACAACTTCCAACAACTAGAAAGTGGGAGGGGCAGTGACAACAAATTATCGATTGCCTTGACACCTGGATAATGATTTCTGGTGACTTGCCGTTCTTTATATTGTGGAAATTACTATGGCGTACGCAGCTCTAGTCTAAGCTATCCTGGTGTGTGTAATATCCCAGTGAGGAAACAGCCAATAGTGAGAGCAGCAGAGATCATGTGATAGAGCATGCTGGGAAGATGATTGAAAGACGAGAAATCCAGTGAATGAAAGGGCGAGCCAAGAACAGCCAGGCTGGGGAGGAAAAGGCTAGATGATGCTGGAAATCCTTCAGCCAGGAAATGAGGTGGAGCTCTATCTGACTTGCTGCAGCTTCTAATGCACATTGTGAGAAGCTCACAGTGTGCAGTAAAATCAGAGTAAGCCATTTCAGTCCAGGAGAGGAGCCGGTACAACTGTGCGAGACTGAAGGGAAGGCCAGAGGTCAGATTTTACAATGGTTGAATAGAGCGGCGAGTCTCCCCAGGGAGGGCACAGAGAGCAAAGAACACCCGAGAAGGGTTCTACCTCTTTCCTGCTCCACCAAAAACAAAATTTGTCTGGAGTCCCCCTTTAACACCTTCTCCACTTCCTCCTTATGTCTATTGAAATCACAGGGATGCATATGACTCATTAGAACGATTGAGGTAAAACAATCCCGAGTAAAACCAACACGTGAGATGAGAAAATCTTGGAAATTTCTGAAAGACTGCAAATGACGCAAGACAGACGGATGGTTACATCACTGAAAATTTTCACTGATTGGCCAATCAGTGATCACATGCAAAGTAGTAAGCAAGATGTCACTTCTGACATCATTGCTTACTACGTGTGAAATCTGTGAATGATCACAGAGGTCACATGGTACAAGGCTATTCACAACAGCCTTGTGCTATGTGACAAGCTGTGACCAATCACAGTTCACACAGTATTTCTTAATGGCTGCAAGAATGCAGCCAGAGAGAAGGAGAAATGATTGCTTTTACAGCCTTTAAGGGTATAAAAAAAAAAATCTTCATCACCCCCCAAAAGTAGGCCAGTGTCACCATGGTGACAATGCACTGCTAGGGTGACAGTATGTAAGAAAAAAACATCCTAAAAGTAATAATATAAAAAATTAAAATATAAATGTAAACAAAAAACTTAAAAAATTATAATTTTTGGGTATAAACTAATTTGAGTTATATTTTTTTACTAAAAAAATAACTGAATAAATTTATGATGAAATATTATTTATTTGCAAAATGTTATAAGAAAAACACTTTTAAAAAAAATTTGGACTTTCATTTATATAGCAAAAAAAAATAAAAAAAATCCCAGTGGTGAATAAATACCACCAAAATAAAGCTTTATCTGTCTTAAAAAAAATGCTAAAAAATTCATATGGGTACAATGTTGCATGACCGCGCAAATTGATAGCGCTGAAAGCTGAAAATTGGCCTGGACAGGAAGGGGGTGAAAATGTCCGGACTGGAAGTGGTTAAGCAACGACTACTGAGTTCAGTATAACCGTTCTTGTTTTTCATTAAACTTTCAGAGATTCAGCTTGCGCACGTCGGTGTCCGGAGCTTTATTTCTCCCAGGCCTGAGGGTGAAAATAACGAGGACTGGGGCTACAGACATAGGCTGATTCCTATCAGTTACTATCCAGTTTGTGGATTTATTTTTATCACTTCTTATTAACGAGTGGCCACCATCATAGGGTCATTTTTACTGGGTTAGGTGTGGCTCTGGAGCGATCCCACAATGGACTTTTGGGGCTTAGCAGTTTTTTTTTCCATTCAGACATTGCCATTACTCCTGACATTGCCCGCACAGTCCTTGTGCTGTGTTATTCTATAGAAGAGTTTCATCTCCATAGAAAAGTCTAAATGCAGAGTTGCTCCACTCACCGGGATTTTGGTGGGATGTTGCTCTCGGATGATCCTCACATCCTCCACTCTTTGCT